GTTCCCGAATGCCAGCCAGGAATGACGACTGAGTGAAGCATTTCTGCCATCCTTCTTGTTGCCATAGTCGTCCAGTTGCTGAACAACTCCCTGTAGCCTGGAAACTATCTGAAGTTCACCTTGGTTTCTTGTATAAGGCCCAACCCCAGCGCACCGCCCAGCTTTCTTCATGCCGGTCCAGGCCCCCCCCCTCCCGCCTCAAGGCGTTGTAGAACTGCTCCTGGCTCAGAACCCCCTGAGATTGCGAGTCAGCGATCTCCCAGATGTCGTGCAGCACTGGCATGGGAAGCCTGCGAACGCACATAAGAAGGCTTGGGCGGCACTTGGAGATGTGGATCCGCCATCTTTGGCTGCCGACTAATTGTTGTCCTTGTGGTTCAAAATGTGTAAATCCTAACCCGTCGTGGAACGTGATACAACATGGACAATCACTACCACATGGCAATTTCCCCTCCCCGTGTTACAAACAAACAGTCCAACGCGTCATGACGCTGCGCCGCGCCCGCTCTGCATGAGGAAGTTGGCGCCAGCGCGGCCGTCCACAGGGCCCTGCCCCAAATGGCTGTGAAGCCTCGCTTGGACCGGAATGAAGCTGACATGTCAAGGGCAGGGTCGCTCACATTTACACACTTCGACATACCATGGGTCAAAATTCCATTGGTTGCTGCTGAACTGGATGGGTCCTGTGGTAGCGCTGCATGGCCAGCAATGTGGCTGTCCCCTCCCCGAGCATTTGATACAACAGATTCGCTGTTAACTTGAACATGTTACAGTGAATGCGAGTTGGGCTGGCGCATGATCAAGCGACTGTTCGTGTTCGGAAAGGACGCCTGCATCTTCTTGAAAGCCAACCGCCAACACACAATGTATTTCGAGATTCTGACTTCTTGTCAGCCTGTTTGTGAAAGGAGCTCAGCAAGGAAAGCACCTGAACCATTCACCCACTCATGGCTAAAAGGGCACCAAACACATACTCATGGCTCACTTTGGGTCACTTCATTTACTAGATAAACCTGTTGTACTCCCTAGGTTGTGGGTGTGTAAGCTTTGCGGAACATGAGCAAGCTGTCCAGGAGCCCAGCCACTTAAACAAAGCAACATGCAGTAACAACAACATACATGATCAACCAACCTTACTCAGTGTCAACCATCACCAGCTCTTCCCAAGCGCCCCTGAGGCCATCTGCAAGGTCTGTCACAGGTAGCTGACGAATGATGGTACTGAACCCCATGCTAGTCAAGGCCCCTCCACAAGAAGCCAATGCGCCCCGTTCTACGGTATCATTGGTGTAAGCCTTTCAGTTCCTGCTGCTGAAGCGGAACACTCTACGATAGCCACAAGCACCATGGCATCATACATATATATATATATATATATACATCTTTATTATTACGAGTAAATCTAGATAAATGCCTTCCAAGCCTGCATGATCACAACCAAATTAGACAGTAAACGTCGGGACGTTTCTTTCTTGCTCAAAACGCAGCTGCCAAGGAGCGGCGTCCCACTCTGGCTCGTTTTCCTTGTAACCTCAACGGCAGCTTTCCACTGCAGCCAAGAGGCTGCTGGTAGTACTGCAGCTCCTCTGCAGAGAAAGGAGCAGCACCCAGGACCTACGGCGGGGCTTTATGCTGCTTGCGTGAAACCAAGTGCCTGGCTTACCTCCCGTGGCCTGTGTCCTCTTGGTTTCCTGTCACTCCAGAAGAAGGGTGCCATGCTGCTGCACTGCCGTTCAACTTGTTGTTTCGGGGATGGACCTTGTGGCGAAACATCAACGTGCAATCTGGAGATGTCTTCTTGGCACTTGCGGCTACGTTTCAGTAAAAGCAGCCTGAAGGAGAAATACAGTAAACAGAGATGAGCTGCCAGAACACAAAGTTGACGGGAGAAGATCTGCAGGACAAGGTCAGCAGTCGGCAGGCCTGCTATACAAAAAGGGGCGTGAACACGTTACAAATGCAAATGCCTCGCAGGCCCCCTAGAATTGCCAACGCAAGCAGCCTTCGGCCTGACGCAGACTAAGCCCCTTCTTGAAACCCAAACTACAGGTGCCCAAAGGCCGTCATTTGGGCAGTTCCGCTTGTTGTGAGGCACCTGGGCACCTTATGATTTGTATTGTCTCGCCGCGCCTGCCTTCGCGAAATGCGACCCCTCCCACAAAAATGCATATCCCAAAGCCAGTTGACCCAATGCTTGCGTACGCGACTGCACGACAACGCGCATCTCAAAACATGGCTGTGGCTGTGGCTCAAAATTGAACAGCTGGGGTTGCGAGCAAGGTGTCATTTTGGGTACCATGGCAAGCACAAAAGCAAGTCTAAACTGAATGGTTGCCACTAAGTGGTCGACCCAACAAGTGTTGAGCCCAGAATCTCATTCTTGGAAATGCTTCTAGCAACCGAAGAAAGACGGTTCCTGTGATCCTTAAATCGCGCTCCCCGCCTGCGTTGAGCAGGCCCCAGAGGGCACAGGCGGAGGGGCCGGGTAGCCATAGTCCATGGCGCCGCTCGGGGCTCTGCTAGGTGTATTTTCTGGGAATATCCCCCCTATTCCCATAGAACCAAATACCCCCCGCTTTCAAACTGTTGGGGGGGGGGGTGGCTACAATGTGCACGTGGCATCAATCGCCTTGGCCCAAGCGAGCCCTTTGCGAGCAACTCGGCTCCACTTTCGGTGAAACATAGTGCGCACGTGCAGATTGCCGGCGTTGACCTGGTCAACCTTGCTTGATTCAATCCGTGTGTGGTTTGATGTGGGCTCTGCTTTGAGAAGGCGCGGCCGAGATGCCCATGACCCCGGAACGCATCTTCAACTGGCCGGGAAATATTCTGGGCCTCAGCCCAAATCTTGGCTAGCTAATCCAGCTTCCACAGTTGAACAACCTGACGAACCAGGGACATTGTTGATAATTCAACAAATCCACAGAGGGACCAATTGCTGAGAAGCCCGATGAAAGTGCTCTGAATTTGGGTTGCTATTGACTTGACTCCGTCCACCATCAGGCTGGGTTTAGGCTTGTGTCCCCACTGAATCGGCTGCACATAATGCCAAGATAAGAAGCTAACTCAGTGTGATCTTGTCTAACGTAGTTGTGGAAGTGTGCTTGCCTGTCAAATGAAATGGCAAAGCTACAGGTGGCAAAGCCCAGCACTCGTTACTTGTCGGCGGACGGCCAAGCTTCCATTGGCCCAGTAGATGTACGAGTAGAGCATGGTGAATGTGTTGAACATCAGATTGATCCGTGCAATCAGGGATCATTTGTTTCATGTTCATTGTTCTTGTTCGCTTTCACCGAAACATTAAATCACATGGGCGTGCTCCAGCGAATCCCCGTCACTAGTTGCAAGGTCAAAACAAATGCTGGACACAAAGCCTGTGACATCCTTTCAGCCCTCCATTAGCCCCCGGCCCCCAGGTCCAACACTGCAAACGATTCGGCCCAAGAAGACCTAGATCTGGAGGTTCATACCCAAGCCCAACTGGAAACAACATGGGGGGGTAACCTCCATCTGTTCCGCCTTGCACCCACATGCACCCACAAAGTCAACATGGGGAAGGATGTGTTCGCTTGGTTTGTACGACCCCTGTCCCATGCATGTCTTGGGTTGGAATGGTGGTTCAACCCTGTCAACCCCCCTCAACCCCCCCCCCTTCAACCCCCTCGACCCCTTCAAACCCCGACCCCTACAACCTCAACCCCCTACAAATCCCTTCAACCCCTTCAACCCCTTCAATCCTTCACCATTCAAACGAAGTGGGATGGCCCCGTCAACCAACTCAACCCCCTCAACCCCTTCAATCCTGCGCCCCTAACCAGCACTCAACTCCGGTCCCCTTCGCAAGCTGCCAGCCTTTGAGGCGGAAGCCGGCCCACTTCAAGCCCACTGCCTGCCAGGGGTCTGATCATGTCTGATCGTCTGATCCGGCCTGGGGCCTGGGGTTGCAAAAATATGTTTAAACACCAAGACCCTGGTTCCGTTTTCAGCGAAAATCGTTTAAACAAAAAAACAAGGGGTTGGCTCAATTCTGGGTCCCATAGCACAGTCCAGAAGTCTCGCTCTGGAACTTGCAGTGCTGTCATTTGGGCGCTTCCAAGAATAGACAACTTCCGCCTCTTTTCTCAGCACCCCCGCTTTGGGAGCAGCCTCAAGCCTTTAAGGTAAGGCTTCCATAGTTGAAATTGATATTATCCGCACACAGAAGTGACGTGGCTCACCAATATTGGTTACCACCAGAATCACTAGAACGGAAACCTTCTTCCATGTTGCCTGGTCGCTTGAGCTTAGCCAGCCTGGAGACACATACACACACACACACACACACACACACACACACACACACACACACACACACACACACACACACACACACACACACACACACACACACACACACACACACACACACACACAACAACACAACACAACACAACACAACACAACACAACACAACACAACACAACACAACACAACACAACACAACACAACACAACACAACACAACACAACACAACACAACACAACACAACACAACACACACAACACAACACAACACAACACAACACAACACAACACAACACAACACAACACAACACAACACAACACAACACACAAACACACCACAACACAACACAACACAACACAACACAACACAACACAACACAACACAACACAACACAACACAACACAACACAACACAACACAACACAACACAACACAACACAACACAACACAACACAACACAACACAACACAACACAACACAACACAACACAACACAACACAACAACACAACACAACACAACACAACACAACACAACAAACACAACACAACACAACACAACACAACACAACACAACACAACACAACACAACACAACACAACACAACACAACACAACACACACACACACACACACACACACACACACACGCCTACACACGGCGACATTTACACAGAACGACATCTATACACACACATACACACAGAGCTACCTAGCTACC